ACTTGACTCTTTCTCTCTCTCTTCACTTACACATTGATATATTATACATACATAAATAAGATGATTACATATAGCATATAAACTTTGCTTTTATAGTAATTTAAACATTTAAAAACAATTGGATTTCATTTCTTAAATGTTCTCTCATTTCTAAATTTTTAAGCCTTTCACGTAGACTTTTTTTAAACAAAATATGAATATGTTGGAGATGTTGAAGGTATTTTAGTGTGTTAATTTTTTGGAAGATATCTCACTGTTTTAAAAAATGCTCTCTAGCCTGTGCTTGCCCAACTTCAAGACCGAAGAAAGAGCTTCGAGTCAGCAAAAAAGACAGTAGTTTAAAGGATGGAGGAGCTCACGTTTCTGAAGCAAGGTTCTGGAGGAACACCCCATCGTGTGGTAGGGACGGGCCGGCGGCAGGGCAGGATGTGGCGGCACCCTTCACTCCAGAGAGCAAGGGTAGGTTACCAGTTATAAGGGAAATTGATGGCAGGTTGGCTCATTGGCTACCAGGGTAACCAGCAGAGGAGCAGCTCCTCACTGCCTCTTTGATAAGCTATCAAGGTAGTTAAAGTTAGAACAATCATTAGCTGGGGCCTGGGACAATCATGTGTTAAAGTCAGTCAGGTGAGTTCAGTGTAGGCGAAGCAGGCACTGGTGGAGCAAGGATGTGCAGAGAGCAAGAGAATAGCCATCTTGAGTGGCCTGACTACACATAGGGATTGATTTGTTTTAATACAAAACTGACTACAACTTGCAGACAAAAATTTCCTTGTTATGCTAATCAAGAGTTAATCATTATAAATAATGAACTGAAAAGTGTGCATGAACAGTTTTGACATCTATTTTCTTCACAAAAATAATAAGTAATTGGGCTTCATGTTCTATAATAATATTATTAACTGATGCCAATATTAGAAACATTGCACTGAAGTCAGTATGCATTTCTAAATAAAAGAAATACAGTCATTAAAAAGACAATTTGAGAAACATTGACAGGTTTACCTTTGTAGGTTAGCTTGAGTCGTGGAATATTTTGCTTAGAAGTTCCAATGACTGGAAGAAACAGCGTGGTCATGCTTAGCATCATCAAGGCATGAAAAAGGCAAAAATAGTGGCTTCTGGACTTTAGTCTCTCATCTTTATTAACATTCATGATGAAAACAATGTTCTCTTTCAAATGGTGCGAATTTAACCTAAAAAGAAGAGAAGAGCTATTAATACAGCAGTTTGCATATATCCCTACACTTACTAAATTATAATTTTCTGAATGTATTTAAGACTTTATTTTAATTGCTCTTTCTCTCCTGTTCTGCTGTTACAAATTGTTGCAGGGGAAATGAATCAGAACTGAGTAATAAATTCAGGTCTGGCTTTACTCAGATGGAGATGAGTGTATAGTGAAAAATTCAACTCTTTATGTTAATTAGCATCACTTCTATTAAAGTTTTCACTTTTTTTAATGCAAATATAGGAGGAACCAATTCTTTCTGTAACTTGATGAATTGATGAGATAAGAATACTGGTAGAAGCCTACTCTTTCCCCCATCATCCTCAAAGGAGAATACTCTTAAGCAAAACTAAATAAAAGCTGTCATTTTTGAAAGAGTTATTTTTGATTCTGACAAAAATATTTTAAAAGTCTACATAAAATCAGAACAATTGGACAAGATCAAGTCAGGGCCACCAGTACAGATTTTAAGTCTGGGACAATGCAACCTTATCTGCACCCTGTATTACTCCACACAGGGTAGCACTGAATAGAAAACTAACTGCATAATAAAAAGGTTTATAAGAAGGAGGAGGTGGTTATCAACAAGAATGTCTTTGTTAAGACATTCAGTAAACCAAAACTCACATACTTCAAATTAAGCCTGATAATAATTACAAATAATATTTATTGAGTATTTATATGAACCAGACTCTTTTTAAAAAGTACTTTACATAAATTAAATGACTTAATGCTGCTAAATTAATTAAACAAGTAGGTCATTAGACTGAGTTCTTGGCTTCACTTAATCATATAATTTAAGAGAAGACAGGAATGTCTGACCAAAAAGATCTATACTATCAGCAGACCTTTATGAAAATTCTAGTTTCTAAAACTTCAATAATATATATTTTAAAATAAAATAAGAATAAAGTCCTTCAGTAAATAATATATTTAAAGCAAACTCTTAAGAAATAAAGAATTGTATTATTTCAGAGCTAGGAGGACAACATGCATATGCACTGACATAAAACAGAGTCACTTACCAGGTTCCAGAAAAATTTAACAGAATTAGTTTTAAATTATGTGTTTTGAATTACTCAATGTCTTAAGAATTGTATTTTTGCAACTTTTCAATTGTACATTTACACCAGTAAAACACAGATGCATTCTTTGAGTTACGGATTCTCCTTAAAAACTTACTTTTTTTTTTCAAATACAAATAAACATTTAAGAATACATATATATATATATATATATATATTATATATACTTATGCCATTAACACCATAGCTCATCTCCAACCATTTATAAAGGTGGAAGAAAGACTTAAGATCCTTTTCTGGGAGGAACAGTAGATTATACACAAAGAAAACACTGTGAAATAATTGCTAAAATCGAGATATTTATAGGACGCTATGGGAGACAGCACAAAGGAGAATCATAGAGGTTTAAGCAAGACAAGGATGGTTTCATAGAGGACAGAGAAAGGAGAACAAAAAGTAAAAAGAACCGGTTCCAGATAACAGTGATACCTAGTTAAGGGTTCCTGAAAAGCTGGAAGAATGATGGACTTGAGAAGGGAGAGAGAGTATAGCATAATCCAGTAGAGTGGAAGAGAGAGGAAACCAAAGAGGAATTTGACCTAATGCTTAAATGTGCTGCCTGCCTGTTCTGGTACCTAATACGTTAGGACTTAGATGCTGCTGCTGTTCCACACTGCCTCTGGTATTAGATCATAGGTGCTGGTTTCATCCATGTTCACCAGTGCTTCTCTAATCCCATTTGCCTGTTCCTTTCACTGTTCCCTGCGTCCGTATGTTAGCAGAACATGGGTATCTGATCACAGCAGATCCGCAGCTTTGCCACACAAACATGAATTCCTCCCCCACCCCCTACACCCTCAAAACAAGTAAAAGGTTAGCTGAATGTAGAGATTAAGTATATTAAATTTCTCATTAGGTTTAGTTTTTCTGAGCTTCTGGACATATTTAATAGGATTCTTTTTTCATAACATGTAACAATGTATGTAATGTGACTGTATGTTTATGTACACAGGCAAAGAGAGGGAACTTTCCATGTGTGCATTTTATTAGCAATAATGACCTCAGGACAGGACATTTCCTGTGAATTAATGACCAGTTGGGGTTAATGGCCCTTAGCTGTGTATTGAGATAGCTACTCCTCTAACTGGTCATTAATCGCTAAGACATGCCCTGTGCCTCCAACACTATAAGTTAAGAAGATTGATGTTTTGGTTTCCAATGAACAGTAGTCATACTGTGCCTTGTAACCCAACTTATTAATATTGCTGAATAAGTTAAAAATCAAAGCACTGCTTTCCTTGCTACTATGACATTTGAAGTGCCCACACGTGCTAAAACATTTGTTAAGGGTGAGGGACAAAATAAAACAAAAATTCTGAACCTGCTGGAACTTTAAAAAAAAACTTATTTTTTTGTCCTATAAAAGTCACTCTCTATTATCAGCTGCTCCTGGTTCTTTGTTTTTCCTCCCAACCATCCTTTGAATTCAATAGTTAATCTTTCAATTGAGATAATTTATGGGTTAAATATATTGCAAACAATGCTATTGATATTTTGCTATCTTCTAGTGCATGTTAGTGTATGTGTGTCTGTCGGTGTCTGCAAGTGTTTTTTGTACCCACACGTGTGTGTGTCTGGCATCTGGGAAGAATTATAGAGAGAAGTAGGTGTGATTTAACCTAAAGAGGGTGGATTTGGTGAACTGCATAGGTTATACTGCATGCTACTGTCTGTAACAAGCTCGACCTGGAGCCAATTAACTGCATGTAATCTATTCCAGATGTTCACTGAGACAAACAGCACTCTTGGGGATCTTCAGATGTGAAGCCAATAGGGAGTGTTCTGATTATGAGAGATTTTTACACACTGTTCCACTAAATCAGAGATCCAAATGCATAATCTCACACTCAAGAAGGCCTTGTGCCATTTCCCAAAGGAATACAAAGAGTCCAGAACTTATTAGATGGATGGCAAATCGTCAAAAATATTATTTGAAAAGCTAGGGATGTACAATTATGCATGCGAATATCATTGCTGTGTCTTATTTACTTATATCTATTTGTTCCAAAGTCATTAAGTCAAGAATATACAATTATACTGAAAAAAACATTCTATGCATAGAAGAATAATTAAAATACACGACAAGTCTTCACATGAAAACCGTGAACACTTAGATTTGGGATTCTTTTCTCAGGTGTGTGTGTGTGTGTCTGTGTGTGTGTGTAGGCTGGAAAGGAGGAAAAGGATCCTTGATCTCTTAATTTATAAAGAGTTATTTGTTCTTCGTAGCTTTGTGGGGCACATAAGGTCACTAGATAATTTTTATCTAACTCAGGAGACACAAGGAGTTATGATCACTCCCAAATTAAAAGTACTATCAGTATAAACTCACTTTGGCCTAACTGTAGCTCACACTTTCTAGTTATTTTTTGATCAGATGGTTTTCCTGTAGAGTACACAAGACTGATCGGGTATTTAGTAATATTATTTCCTGACAGGGATTTGGAACATATTGACAAGAAACCAAATAGAAATTATAGACTAAATCTGAGCAACAAAGAGACAATATAGCAAACAAGAAGCTTCACGTTTGCAGAGGGATACCTTATATTCTATTGATGAAGCACAGTGAAATCAAAGTGGAATGCAAGTGGGGTGAATGAAGTTCCATCGCAGTGGAGCCTGGAATGCTAAGTGTTTCATTTGCGTTTATTTTATGTCATCCCTTCTAAATTTGTCTTTATGTGTTTTCTACATATAGATGATGTTCTACTACTTTAGTTCCAGCAGGGGTATGCAATCACTGCTCAGCTGTGCAGTATTATTACCAATGAGTGGAACATACAGAGCAGCAACTTTTGATTGACAGATTTTAACTGGCCATTAATGGATTTCATTGCCTTCAGATGTCACAGATTCCTCATACATTGATATATTCCAATGGAGTCTGAAAGACCATCTGATTTTTCAGAGATCACGAAGAGACTTACATTTCATAAATATTAATCTACTTCTTAATATCCTTATGAAAACAAGTCAGTGACATTTTACCACATACCAAACTAAATATGAACATCATCAGTAATCAGCTGTAAAATTGAGCTATTTGTCAGTAAGAATAAACTACAGTAGTTCCATTTTTATTTTGCAGTGGTTTAAATACAATGTTTATATTTCTAAAAGACACTGAAAGTATACTGTTGTACAAATCCTGCTCAACAAAGCACCACTGTTACATGTACCTGGTTTTGCATGTCTTATAGTCTTGTATTTACAGCCAGGTCAAATTCTCCAGGATCTTACTCCTAATGAATCCAGCTCAATAAAAAATAATATGATAGTGAGATTTCAGAACACACATGTGCAACCTGTTAGATTTAATATTGTAGGTTACATTTTTTTCTGAACGTGACAGTAACAACAAAACCATGCTTTCATTGTAAAGTCCTGAAGAAATTAACACATTTACAAAAAATTAATAAAACATGACTGTAAATGACTTTACTACTAGTCATCTTAGCCTAAATTTCCTATTAATCGACTACTCAAAGCAGAGCACTGATAGTCATCAATTTGTAGGGTCAGAAAAGCAACAATGGCATAATCATAGTTGGTTTCTCTTTAAATCTGATTAATCCACAATTCAAAGGTGTATGATTTTCCTTTCCAAATTCTCATATTCAAGAGAGCATTTTGGTCCAAGCACCTTTTCATGACCAAGAAAATCTTATTCCTCACCCTTTGGAATTCTGACATGCTTTTTGAGAATGATAGAATATTTTGTCAAATTTTAATGTCTGCCTTTTGTATTCAAAATATAAATGCATATTATTTAAACTGATTGTTTTCTAAAACTTAACACCCTCCACCTCAAATATTCTGTCTGATATGTGGCCCCCTGCAGTTTAAAAAGAGATTTTTTTTCTAAATAAACAGAATA